AAGCTATATTATAACTATTAATAATAATAGATCTTAAATAAAAAAATAATCTACTTCTATTTATTCTAAAAGAATATAAAGTTTATAAGAAACTCTTTATAGCTAAATTAGAAACTAAACTACTTAAATNTATATTAGTTTTAATTATAAAATCCCCCTTAAAAAAAGAAAAGAACTATAATTTAATAAAATCTATAGACTTAATCTAATAGAGATAGAAGTCTTAAATAAGTACTTTAAAGAAAACCTTAGGAAAGGTTATATTAGACCTTTAATATTACTAATAGGAAGCTTTNTATCCTATTTATACTTAAGAAGAATAGAAAACTATAGCTATATATTAACTATTATATACTTAACGAAATAATAATTAAAAATTACTACTTACTACCCCTTATAGATAAAATAAAATAACTTTTATATAGAGCTAACTAGTTTATAGCTTTTAATCTTAAAAAGGCTTATAACTTAATTTAAATAAAATAAAGTAAAGAATAGAAGACTACTTTCTAGATATAAAAAGGATATTTTAAGTACTTTATTATACCCTTTAGCTTTATTAATATACCTATAATATTTTAGAATATAATTAATATAATATTNTATATAAATATATTAATATCTATATAGTTATTTACCTAAATAATATTTTTATCTTCTCACTTATATTTAAGAAGTATAAAGAAGATATTTACTATATCTTATAAGCTTTCTAAGAAGCTAAACTCTTAGTTAAACCTAAAAAAAGTAAATTTTATATATAAAAGGTGGAATACTTTAGATTTATTATTACCTCTAGGAAGGTTTATATATTAGGAAATAAAGTTAAAGCTATTAAGGAATAGCTAGTACTTAATAACCTTAAAGAAGTCTAAAGATTCTTAGGTTTTATTAACTTCTATTATAAATTTATTAAAGATTATAGTAAGATTAATATAGCTCTCACTAGCCTTAGCTATAAAGATATACTATTTATATAGGTAGAACTATAATAGATAGTATTCTAGAAGATTAAGGACCTTATTACTAGTAAACTTATCCTAATTATTCTAAACCTAATAAAATAATTTAAAATAGAACTTAATATATCTAATTATATAATTAGAGTATAATTATTATAATAAGATTTAAAAGGATACTTATACCTATATACCTTTTTCTCTTATAAGCTTTATAGACTAAAACTTAACTACTAGATATATAATAAAGAGCTAATAGTAATTATTAAAGCTTTTAAAAAATAAAAACCTAAACTCTTAAGAATAATTCATAAAGTACTTATATACTCTAATTATAAAAATCTTTTATATTTTATAACTTTAAAAATACTTAATAAATAATAAATCTAATAGTTAGAATTCCTCTTAGAATTTAACTTCTATATAATCTATTAAAAGGGATTAAATAATAATAGAGTAGATACTCTTAGTTAATAACTAGACTATAATATCTTAGTACCTAAAGAAACTTAGGTGATTTTTAAATAATAGGATAATAAAGACCTAATATTAATAGCTAAACTCCTAATAATAGCTAGATGATTTAATATTAGCTTAACTAATAAACTAAATAATAAAGTAATTATAGAATTTTATATATACTCTATATATAATTACTAAGGAATTATAAAAACCTAGAAATAATTATAATAGTAATATAGAGAAAAGGTTATAAGAGAATATATAGTAAAAGTAATTAAGGATTATAAAGTATACCTAAAAAGCAAACCTACTTAATATTAACCTTATAGTATATTATAACCTTTATTTATATTATAAACTGCTTAGTAATCTATATCTCTTAACTTTATTATTAAATTACTAAAGTTTTAAGAACCCCTTATAGGAGTATACTTTAATAGCATTCTTATTATTATAGACTAACTTATAAAGTATACCTACTTTATCCTATATAAAGAAGTAAGTAATGCTAAAGAATATATATATACTTTCCTTAAGTATATTATTACTAACTATAGTATACCTAAGGAAATTATATTAAATAGAGATAAGATCTTTATTTTTAAATTTTAGAAATTAATAATATTATAACTTAGTATTAAATAGTTAATATCTACTGCATTTTATCTATAAACTAATAGATAAATAGAATATATTAACTAAATCTTTAAAATATACCTCTATACCTATATTAATTATAACTAAAATAATTAGGTTATACTACTACTAATCGCTTAGTTTGCTTATAATAGTATAATTAGAGAAAGTACTAAAGAATCCCCCTTCTACTTTAACTATAGCTTTAAACTAACTACTTATAGAGAACCTTAAGTAAACTTAGCTATAATTAAAGCTACTACCTTAATATAATAAATTAAGGATATCTAAGATAATACTTATAAAGAACTTAAATTTATTTAATAATAAATATTAAGATTTAGTAATAAATAAAGGATTAAGGGACTAACTTTAAAAGAGGGAGATAGTACCTATCTTATATAGCAAAATATTAAAATAAAACGACTAAGTAATAAATTTAACTATAAAAAACTTAGACCTTTTAAAATCTTATAAGTTATTTTACTAGTTAACTATAAGCTTAAACTCCTAGAAACTATAAAATACTACTTAGTATTTTATATTTCACTTCTTAAGCTAGTATTATAAAGATTATAAATAAATAACCTTATTATTATAGAAGATAATAAACTAAAGTATAAAGTAGAGAAGCTACTAAACTACTAATATAGAGATAATAAATAGGAATACCTTATTAAATAGAAAAACTATAGATATAAAGATAATATATAAGAACTTAATAATAACCTACTTAACTATTAAGATAAGATTAATAAGTATATTAGAACGCTTAATTATATTAATCTTAGGGATAAACTAAACCTATTTATAACTTTAAAAGAATTTAAGGAATATATAAAATATATTAATAAAAGAGAAAGATAAATATAAGAAGAAATATAATAGAAATAAAGAGAAGCTAAGAAATAAAGAATATAACTCCTATTAGTATAAATATAACTAAGAGGATACTTTAGACTAGTATAATAAGAAAATATATCTATTTAACTAAGAATATTAGAATATAACTAAAACTCCCCTAATAAGAAACTTAGAGTATTAAGATTCTAGTTAAAAATTAAATCTAAGTTTAGAATACTAAAACTACTTATAGACTAAACCTCTAATATAGGAGATATTATTAGCTCCTCTTCTATAACCTCTTAACCTTTTTAAAATACTATCTTTTTCTACTTATATAAGTAATCTAACTATACTATAAACTTATCTAACTTAGCTTATATAGTATATAAAGTAGCTACTTTCTTTCTTAATACCTCCTCTTTAGCTATTTTAGTATCTTCTAAATAAGTAGCTTTATTTAGTAAGTAATTAACTAAGATAAGTTAGTACTAAATAAGAAATATAGTAAAAATAAAGACTTATAAGTATAAATAGTATTTACTATTATATTATAAGACTGCTCTAAATAAGTATACTTATTATAAACTTCACTATTAGGAAGAAGCTTATAATACTTCTCTAAAGAATAATAATAAGAATAAGGTATATTAATAATTAAATTAAACTTAGTAATATATAAAGTATAGTTATAACGATAAAGAGTAGAGGTAGTATTTAATTTTAATTTCTAAATATAACTTAATATAATATTAGTATTATAAGTAAAATAGGAAGTATAATTAATAGATTTTTAACTTAGGACTAATAACCTATTTATATTAGGTCTTAAGGGTAAGACTTTTAGAGAGGGAACTTAATATTATAATCTATTATATATAGATAATAGTTAATTAACTTACTTAGGTATTAAGTAGCTAGGATAGGATATTTATATTATAGAATTAATAGGAATAATAAGGACTTACTTAGAATAGAAGAACTATAGTATAAGTTATATAATAATAAGATAAGAGAATAATTAGTAGAGTATAAGAAGAAATACTTAGTAATTAGTTAGTATTACTAACTAATTATAATTACCTATATACTTAGGTAATTACCTAAAAATAGATAAAGGATACTATTTAGGATCTATATATAGTATAACTTAAGCTTCGCTTAAGGTTAGACTTCTATAGCTTTTTAGTAATTAACTTAGTATTTATCCTTATAGATACTCTTAGTTTACTTTTACTGTAAATTACTTATTAAGCCTAAAACTAATTACTTTAGTCTCTAAAAGACTTAATCTACTATAGCTTATAACCTACGACTTAGACTATAACCTTAGTATACTGTTATAACGTGTTAATCCCTAGCTTCTATTAGCAGACCTTACTATTAGATAGCTGACTGTAATACTTGTTGACTGCTGTATAACTCTAATAGGGAAATATATAGAGGGTTATAGTATAACCTCTATAGCTAACCTATAGAGTATATAAAGGGGATTTTTGAACTACCTAGCTAAGTAGAAGTAACCCCCTATTATACTATAACCTAAATTTAAAGCCTTCTAAAATAAATCTTATATATACCTCCTATTTAATTAATATAGTTTTTACTACTAGTAATATTAAATATCTAAAAAAAACTAGTTTACTATATATTTAATAATAGTTTAGTTATATCCTTATAACTAAGAATAATAATATAATATCTCTATACCTCCTTATAATATATATTAAGTTTTTAGAAAACCCTTAGAACTAAGCTTTCTATTAAATTAAGTAGAGATTTAAAAAGATTACTAAGAACTTAAAGGATAAGAATAATATAAAGGAGATTAATAGGATATTTAATAAAAAGTATAGTGAATAGTTCTAAGAACTAATTACTATTATTACCCTTATCTAAGTTACGATATAGTGGTTAAGGAGACTAGCTTAGGTTAGGGTGGAGGAAAAAAAAGGGTCCTTATGTTCCCTTTAGTTATATAAGTATTCACAAGGAATTATTCATAAAATGGGGCACTGGAGATGTTGATCGAGGCTGGGGCAGATGTGAACCGGCAATGTGGTTTCGGTATTACACCATTGGAACTGGCAACCATCAACTTGGGGCTTCCACACCCACGGGCGAGAACTCGAAGTTTGACATACATGCATATTCTGCCCCAGGACGGGAGAGGTGTCAGCCTCGATACAGACCAGAAATTGTACGATTGTATCGTCAGAGCACTTAAGAGCAAGGGAGTAGTCAATCACGATGAGCAGTATGTACCCAGATCACGAAACGGTGTTTCAAATTCTTTGCTGACCTCCAGGGGTTCAGATCCAGAAAACCGGTGCAGAAGCCACTATTTGTTGCAAGCTTTTGCGGCAATGATCTTTCTTTCTATTGGAATTGCTGTCGGATACATTGGTGGCCATGGTTCATCCCCCAGAACAGACCCTCACGTACCTAACGTAGTGGGTTACAAATCTCAAGGTGGCTGGCTGGTGCAAGACGCGTAGGGACTTAGAGTTGTCGGTATCGGTGTTCCCAGAGGACCAGCTTAGCTCCCATGAGAACGACCTCTGATAACCACAGAGAAACCTGGAGAGATTCTCCTTGAGTGACGAACGGCAAAACCAGTCAAATTGATATCTGCCTTCCCACTCAGCAAAGCTTATCAACATGCAAAATTCGCGAAAGGCGACTCGTTGAACATCATCCTTACAGCTCCTCAAATATTGAAGGGAGCTTATGAATCACCACCTGCTCTTCGTTTTCGACAGTAACCTTGCCGTCTTTCAGTCCTACAATCTGCTGAGCGATATCGTTCCAGAACTCGCATCTGTTCCTCGAATTCTGGTCATCGGATGTCAGACGGAACGCCGAGTGGAGAAACCCCGGGGCGCGGACTTGGAGGACACTCCGCAGCCTATCGTGATTCCCGTCCGCCACTGGCCAGTATAGTCGGGTAGTCCTTGGTAGGTTATTCGGGTCTCCATTCATAGCGAAGGATGCAAGATATGCCTTGTACCGCGTCGCTACCAGGCCCTCAAGTACTTTGGCGTAGATCTTGGCCAGCAGTCTGCTCCTCAAAACCTTGGAGAGGAGGCCGACAACTTGTTGGACGTTGTTTGAGAAGAGAGGAATCAAGTCGCTAGCATGGTAAGCCAGCACTCTGAAAGGGTATGCATACTCCATCATGTACGACCTATCGGAGTAGGCATCGTAAAGATCTCGGGTGTTGCAGGTGAATGTAGAATCTTGAATCACCTCCTTCAAACAGGTGGTGTAGTTATCATGGTGAAAAGCCGAGCATTGGTACTTTTGACGTATCTGATCTCTGATGTGCGAAAGCTTCTCCCCGGGGAACATCATGGCCAGGTAAGAGTTGAACTTTGCCTGTGAGTCCATGCCTGCGGGTATGAATGACTGGGCCTCGTTGGCGCAGTGAGAGACGACAGTGGACCAGATATTGTCCCAATATTTACCTATTTCGTCAAATTAGAGTCTTCTTTCCTACAAAAAGTGAAGAAGTATGATCAGAGAGACATACCTTGAGAAAATGCGATTGTCGGTAGAGTCCTTATCCATTTCCCATCCACAGAAGGCCCGACAGGTGCCATGCCTGTCTGCTTGACCTTGCCAAAGAACTGCTGATTTGCTTCAATCAATTTGGCCGATCTGGCGTTGCGCAAGCAGTCAATGTCGTACTTGTCTCCGCAGCCAGCCAATTCAGAGAACATGCGGTAGGCCCTGTCGAGTGCCCCGTCTTTGGAGTTATCCCATTGCCACTCAAATGCGGGGCTCTGAACTAGGAACGTGTTGAAGTTGGGGTCTTTCTCGCCGTCTTCCCGGATCAAATGATGCATGATAGAACCAGCACCAGCCGACTCGCCCCAGGCGCTGACGCTATATCGGTCGCCTTGAACTTGGTCAATGTATTCCTGAACCCACTCAAAAAGGAGGGCCTGATCATAAAGAGCGGCATTCGGCAGCCCGCTGTCCTCCATGTAGGAGCCTGCGAGCCATCCGAATGCACCTAGACGATAGTTGCCAGTGATAAAAATGGTGCCATATCTTGACGCCTCAAGAAGAGACTGGCCTGTGTAAAGAGGACTGAATTGATCCTTGCTGCCGAAGGCGTACGCACCGCCATAGAGCCAAACGACGACGGGGAGGCGCGTGGAGTCCTTTTCAAAAGCTTTGACTGGTATATAGATGTCAAGGAAGAGGCAGTCTTCATCCTCGATGATGCTGGTGTCGGGTTCTTCGTAAATCAGGTTTCTCCCGCCAGGTGGATTTTTGAGTCCATTCGGGTTGATCTGGATGCAACTCCGGCCGCCTCCGCTGTCTTGAATGCTGTCGTCTTCCCAGTCGGGGAATGATGGTGCCCCGAAGCGTTCTGGCTTCGCGCCAAAGCGCACATTTTTAAACACGTATATCTGTATGAGCAGATTAGATACCACGGGCCAGGCACATATGATGTCTTCCGTTGCTCACATCCTCGTCTCCTGGAAATCGGGCAGCTTCCCAAGTACCCCACGGAAGCTTCAGCTGCGGAAGGTCATGCTCGGTCCTAGCACCGACGCACAACGCTAGAACGGCAAAAGAAAACAAAATTTTGAGCATGATGGAAAAATGTGCACTCGCGATGCGGAGTGTCTCGAAGTGAAAGTTGGTGATTTTTCGATACGGTGGTCCGAGTGAGGCTGCTATGTGCTCTTGACCAAAATAGCTTGCGCGAGAAGACGTTGAGCGATGCGCGCCCCTGGCGGCTTTCTATTGAAATCTGTCAACGTAGTCAGATCATCTCTCCAATGCGACCACCTTTACAATTTCTCACGTTCATGAAGAACAAATTCCTCGTCGGGGATTTGATTGCACAATGGTCTGATCTTACATGTCCGAGCAGCCCTGGGATCAATTGTCTTGGACGTCATTCTTCATGGAGATGTGCGGATGTTAGTCCGGTGCGGGGAAGATGAACCTTGCCGCCTTTGCATGGAATCCAGGATACCCAAGCTTAAACGGAGGGGAAGACGGGTGTCTGATGTCTTGCATTTCAGCTGGTGCCTCGGACAGCGCCTAAGTGAGAGGCGCGCAGTGAGCCACGCAGGTAATGGTGTCTACCCAGCCTTCTATATATCGAGCGAGACAAGGACCACTAGCAATGTAAGTGGAAAAGTTCCGGTTGGGAGAACATGCACTGCGCCCGAGTACGGCGTTAGAACCGAGGGCAAAGTTGTTTTTCTCTTTGCGTCAAAGGGAGGCTTTCGCTCGAGACAATACGCCCAAGTTTATGCAGCGCCCATATTTGACGCATGCATATTTCGATTCTGAGAAACTTCATGCCAGTTGGTGTCTTGAGTTATCATGATGAGATCGTGTTCACCAAGCCATCGCCGATGATCATTAGGGCGCGTGAAGAGAAGTACTCAGGCATATTTTCACCCGAATCAAGTGGTTCGCATCGGGTACCACATGAAAGTTCAGTCACCGAAACACTTGACCACCAGCTGTCGACGCTTTCAATACAATGCATTTGTTGCCGAGGTGAGGGTAGTTTGATATGTACTTTCTATCCCTGAAATATGACCAGAAAAGAATTGGTGCACGAATGCGCTCCATCACGTAGCTTCGTCGAGTCTCATCGAAAATACTTAGGCAGAGGTCTTGCCACGGATGATATCGGCGGCCTGCAAAGGAGTCACTGTTAGCGGGATGGAATACTAGAAAACACTGGAGCGCAACTTACTCTCTCAGCGACAGCGTAAACAGTTGTCATGATGTGGGTGGCAGGAACCAAAGGCATGATAGAGGCATCGACAACACGCAGACCCTTGACGCCGTAGACCTTCAGGTTTCCATCAACGACACCGCCCTCCTCCTTGGTGCCCATCTTGCAGGTGCCGACAGGGTGGAACAGAGTTGAAGCCTGCTGACGAATGAAGTCGCCAATGGCCTCATCGCTGGTAACGTTGGCACCGGGAACGACCTCGACGGGCGACAGCTGCTTGATGGCTGAGGTGGCGGCAAGGGTACGAGTGAACTTAACGCCCTCGGTCAAAAGGGAGACGTCCAGAGGGTTGCGGAGGAAGCCGGCGTCGGCGACGGGGGCGTCGAATGTGCTGCTGGAGGAGGCCTTAACACTGCCACGAGAGTAAGGGTGCTGAAGACCAAGCACCATGGCACCGTCGGACCAGATAATCTCAAGAAGAGCGGAGTCAGTGGCCAGAAGACGCTCGTTGAGCACCTTCTGCTGGGCCTGGTAACCCTTCACAACCTCAGCCGGAGTACCAGTAGGAAGGAAGGTAGTGCCGTCCTGAGAGGTGGCCTGGGTGTTCAGAGTCTGGCCAGCCTGGGAGTAGGTGGACAGAGGGAGGAAAGCCAAAAAGTCGCCGGTGGGGGATGCGAATGGGCCAGTGTGTTGGCTGTCGTACTCGGCTCGGGCGGCAGCGGCGAATGTCTCATTGCTCGTCAGGAGGCTGCTCACGGGCAGAGTCGTGTTGACTAAATCATCATGTCAGCTCCACCGGTTTTGTACGCACGCATGCTTGGAAGGGAAGTCGTACTGGTGTTAACGACAGTCAGAAGAACATGATCATGCAAGTTCTGGCCGACGGCAGGGAGATCGACAACAGTGGAAACACCAATGCTCTGGTGGAGGGCAGAGTCACCGATTCCAGAAACCTGGAGGATTTGAGGGGTGTGGAAGGAACCAGCGGCAAGAATGACCTCCTTGCTAGCGGTGGCAGTCTGAACGTTGGCACCCTTGCTGGCGGCAAACTGCGAATCTGTTAGTCTCAGAGAGCCCTTCAGGCAGAATAGGAGTCATACCTCCACGCCGGTCGCAGTGACTGCGTCGCCAGAACCAGTAGTCACAACCTTGGTAACCTGTTGTCCAGTAAGGAGGTGCAGATTCTTTCTTGTGGTGAAGTTGTCGTAGTAAGCCTCTCTGGCGGAAGAACGAGTGTTTGTCGTGGGGTCCTGGTTGTGAGGGCAGAAGTAACCACCGATGGGGCTTCCGTTGGCTTGATCCTTAGCAACAGTAATGCCAAGCTCCTTCACGGCATCGATCATGTACTCTGCAATATTATAAGCTTCCAAGATGGCTGCAAACAGTTTCTCTCAGCAATAACGTACTGGTAGTGGGCCAGAAGAATGGAGAGTACGTGACTTGCATCAAACCGTCCTTGCCGTGGGCAGAGTCGTCAACCTCGACACCCCATTCGGAGACAATGTCTGCCT